TTTATAACAATCTCCTTTTTCAACTACTCTCTCTTTCATCCAGCAATCTTAAACAGGTTTTGAAGTTTTCAGTCCCGCCTCCCTCAGTCTTGTTTCTTTAGATTTCGATAGCGTTTTTGTGTCTTAATTTGTGCACTTAATGTGCATAAATTTTTTATTTCCTTTTGATAAGAATTTGTAAAGATATATAGATTAAAGTTCGTAATTGCGGTACTACCTGCATTCTAAACCAACAATCAGTTTTTATTACATAAGAATACACTTGCATGTTAATTATCATAATAGTTTTCCCCTGGATTAGGGGCAGTCTTAATGAATGAGTTTTAAAAATACCACCAAGTTTTGACGGGCGATTTGATTTTCCGGCGTGCCGTCCTTGTTGCCAAACTAGAAAAAGAAATTCTTTTTTAAAAAAATTAACATAAAATGGAAATAGTGCTACGGACCGAATATCCGAATTGAAACCGCTGTGGCTCACAGGATTGAGCGTTCGCCTCCCAATAAGGTTTCCCAGGTCCGAATTCCAGAGATGGCTGATTAACTCGAATTCTTCTCTCGGTTCGCGATGTGGTAAACAGATCATGTGATAGAATACCCCTGCCGTCGGGCTAACCGAATCCGGATTAGGTTCATAGAAAAGCTCCACAAAGGCTAGTTTGTCGCAGTGCTTGATCCAGGGGTTACCTTGTCTTCTTGATTGGGTTCAAAATTACCAGGTATGGAATTGAACATCGCAAAATCAGAATTAGGTCAGCTGATTAACGCCTGTTATAAAATAAAATATCCAAACTGTATATCGTTGCTGTCTCATTCCTTCCCATTGACCATCGACTATGTCTACTTGCTGAAAAGAAGAAATCCTTCCGTGATTTTACTACGTTTTTATTGAATTGCTTTCATCTTAATGCTAAGACAATCTTGAAATTGAAATTTTGATAATTTTTTAACTAACCAGAAAACTCAAATATTTTCTACAGGTATCTGAAGAGAGCGCAAGTTTTAACTGTATCTAGGCCGTTACAAGCAGAAATTGTCACGATATGGTACCGAGCCAAAACTTGACCGTTTTCAGCTAGTCAAATACCTCAAATTTTAATTGAAGTTTTATGCTAGATGACAAGACAAGATTTAGGTCGTTCCAACTGAATTTATCATGAATCGAAATTCCCAGCACTTTTCGTTTAGCTAGATTACTCAAATTTAAATTCGAGCTTAGTGCTGGATGATAATACAAGTTTAAAATCTTTTCCTTGCCGTTGTAACCAGAATCAGAATTAATCTTTAAATACAATTTCAACACATCAAAATTCGATCACTTTTCTAATTAAGTAGAGTGCTCAAATTTCAGCTAGAGCTTCGTGCCAAATGGTAATGCTTGTTAGAATTGCTTCTTAATGTTGCAAGCAAAATTTATCTCTCTTTTTCAACAATAGTAATTTCGACAGCTCTCCGACAAAACTAACAGACACATAACTAAAAAGAATAAATAATGGAATAAAATAAAACATTTTAAAAACTACGCTTTTTAAATGAACTTAAAAGGAGAAAAACAATTCTAAGTTTGTAATACTTATAACAAAACGAAAATCCTAAAGCGCATCACAAATTTCTACCACCATAGAAAATTCCCTCTACGTCTTTTGAAAGTAATGAGGAATCATTTTTTAGATTCACAATTTCTAGATTCACATTTTTTAGATTCATAATTTATTAGACTCACAAAATATAAAATTGTATAAAATTTGAATATAGAATATATATACATAAATATATAAAATAAGGAACTAAGCTTCTCATGCTAAACTTTTTATTGTTATTCAAAAAAAAAGCAAATTTTGCTACAAAATATACACAAATATTAATACCAATATAACTTCGCTATTATTACGCATAAGTAAATGAACAATCAATGCTATTTGAGTAAAAAATACAGTTTTAAGAACGTTTTGGCAAAAATAATGTATTTCAAGTAAGATTTTAGATTGTCTTCATGATTTTGCTCATGTTCACCAGGCACAGTTACCTACAGTTTTTTTTATATGCTTAGTTTTTTTTAATGTCTTACGTTTCTCAGTCGCGTTTGTTACGTTTTATGTCCATTATTTAGAAAAACCAAGAAGACTTTTATTATAAACGCAAATGAAGAAACTTGATAGTATAAGGTTTTTGTACTTTTCTACTTAATTCTTGCTTTTGCGAATAATACTAAAAAACACATGCATGTCAATGTTCTTAAGAAAAAAAAATTGTATTTACGAATAATTACTGCAAATACCACAGATAATTTATACTTTTAAGTAATTCTTTATGACCTTGTATGCACAAAATAAATAAACAAAATATTCACTTAGAAAAGAATTTTGTTGTACTAAATAACATGCACAAAATAGAAATAAACAACACTAATAAAAAAACAAGTTATAAAAATGTTTTACAACCTGAAAAAGGTTTTTCAAAGTCATTAAGCATTAATTTCAATGCGGTGAAAAATTTTCGATAAAACAACAATAAATGCATGCACAAAGTGTCAAGAAACAGTATGAAAATGATTAGAACATAATGGATTAATGTGCCAAAAACATTTTAATGACCTCGTATAAAAACAATAAACATTGATTTATGAGTGGTACAAAGCGTTTATCTATTAAGCAACAAAGGATGGGTGGGCAAAATATAAATAAATACAAATCAGAGCAAGTTATAACAAATGTTTCAAAGCCTATGAAAAGCTTTCTTTTTAATTAGCCTTTAAAAAAATTATAAATATTCATTTTAACGAAGTTTTTTCTTCAACTTTACAATTGCATGCATAAAACTTTAAAAAAGATGAAGTACTTAAAATTGATAACAGTTAACAGAAATGTCTTAAAACTTGAGCGAAAACGAAATTAAAATGCACTAATACGCATTTTTTTTTCTGTTTGTATCTACATCAAATATATGTATAAAATATTAAGAAACTTAAAGTAAATAAGAATGAAAATATTTAACCTAAAAGGCTTAAACTTTATGTAAAAAAATTTGAATGATAATTTATAAAGTTAATAAACATTGACTTATGAGTGGTACAAAATGCTTTTCGAATTAACTTAACATCAATAAATAAATACAAATTAAACGAGGTTAGTGCAAATGTTTTGATACCTGGGGCAGGTTAAGTTTATTCAAATGGCTTAAAGCCTGCAACAGGATTTCTTCAATTACCGTACGCAAAGTCAATAAACATCAATCTTAATGTAAGGCAAATTTTTTCACTAAAAAAACAATAAATGCAAGCAAAAAATATCTAGAAACAGGTTAAATAAAAGTGAGAATGGTTAGCATAAATGCTTTAGCATGCCGCAAGTTTTAATGATATTCAGCAAAGCCAATAAACCTTGATACTATACAAAAAGAAAAAAATTCATGCACAAAACGTCAAGAAATAAATAAATAAATTCAAATTATTATAGTCTATTACGAATGATTTTAAACCTGAGATAGGATAAATATTTATCTGAATGTTGTAAAAATTCCCTTTTGAACAACAATAAATTCGTGCACAAAATAACAATAAATAGAGTAAAGAATGATAAGGGTTAGCAGAAATGTTTAGAAACATGGGTCAAGAAATTTTTTTCGTGGTATAAAATATTTCTCTATTAAAGTACAAGAAGATGAGAACAAGACAGCAAAAATTAAACACAAATAAGTATAGGGTAAAGCGAATGTTTTAAAACCTGTGACGGGTGTTTTTAATATCCGTTCACTTAGTTAATAAACATTATTTTTAGAATAAAATCTTGCCGTATTAAAGACCAAGAATTGCACCCAAAAAATATGATGAAACAAAATACAGTGAAAATTTATGAAACAAAGCATGCTAGTGCGTTTTTCAGGTCGAACTATTTAAACACAAGTTCACTTAGTCTTAATGTTCACGTTGCCGAGCATCCTAAAAGTAGCCAATCATTTAAAAAATAAATTGAAAAGCGGATAGAAATGTATGGTTCGATGAATTCCAAGGAAACGAGGAACTTTATTCTCGTCAAACTTCAAAACTCGTTGCAAAGTACGCTAACAGATGGCGTTGCTGGTAGAAAAAAATATGTATAACAATATTTTCTACTGCATCTCAGACCATTTTTTTTTAATATTCGCTTGGTCGTCTGTAACATTTGCCTTCTGATTGCGCAAACGTTCTTGATGCAAATAGTGGTATTTAAATAAAAAATAAATAAAATAAAATAAAATAAAATAAAACACTCTTATAGGGTTTTCAGTGCAGCCATGTGTTGATGAACAAATTTTCAAACTTAAGAAGAAAAAAAAAACTCGTTCCCTAACGGAATGCAGGAACAATAGAATTTAACCTGTTTCCGTTAATTTTTATAAGTTTTTCGAATCATAATAGTTTTTGGACTCGTTATACAGCCTAGTACAATACATCTAATTTTCATACACTTTTGACATAGTAAAATCTATAGAAAAATTAAAAACCATTATTTCAATATTTTACTTTTGAACGTTTATCACTACTCAGAATTTTGATATAGTGAATCTACAAAGATTCAAAAAACTTTCTTCAATAATTTATACTTAAATGGTGTGTCAAGTTTTGCCTTTTGATAAAATTATATGTATATATATATATATATATATATAAAAAATAAAAATCATTGTTTTAACCTTTACTTCCAAAACTCAAGACAAAACTGTCTCAAAATACCCAAAATCTTTTATAGCTAAATTTCGTAGAAGTTTTATTAAGGTTATTAAACTATAATTCAAAATTGACACTATTAAGTTACATTACGCTTTTATTAAATATGCATACATGTATTTAAAATATTTTTAATAAGAAACAATTACATTAAAGGCACTAGCTCCTTTTATCTTTCTTAAACTACTAAAAAAAGATAATGTGCAGTAGTTTTACTTGAATAACGTTAAACAATTTTGAACAAGGTAAAAACTATAACAGGAAAACAAAATATGTACCAATTAAACTACAATTTTTAACAGAAGGTATTTCAAAAAAATAGAAACGGATGCTTTTGTTTCAATTATTCAAATCTAATATATACTTTAATAACAAAGATTTATGGGTACTATTTGAAATCATAGTTATATAAATACAATTATATATTTTATTAATTTAAACTTTAAAGTAAAATCGATTGTGAGGTTTCAATTGATCTGCAATTAGTTTTTAAAATTAAATATCAGTCAAAAATTTAGTTGGATGTTTCTTTTTTACGTGTAGTAAGTGTTTTAAGTTTAACCATTTTTCAGAATAACTATAATTCAGTTTTGAACAGCAAATCCCAAGACAATTTTGATAGATTTTGAGCAGTAAATATCACTTGTTAAATCCAAAACCAGTTTAGGACAACAAAAACTCTAATCTGGTTTAAAGTAATATTCAACTATCTGTTCTTTTACTTATTGGAAAGTAAATACCCGAAATCCCTTCAATCTTTATATGCAGCTATTTTTCCTGTCTTCACTCCTTTGCATTTTACCACATGAAGATTGTATCGCGCAACTCGAGTATAGCCTTTTTTGCATTTAGGGCAATAGAATGGATACTCCTTAGTGTGGCGAACGATGACATGTTGAGTGAGTTGTTGAATTTTGGAACATTTGTACTCACAATATTGGCACGCGTGGATCTTCGAAATTTGTGGGGTTTTGGATTTTTTGGATGATTTTTTTACAATTTTAGTCGTTTCTTCTTTTATAGGTCGACATTCATTTCGTTTGGCGACATGGATTTCTTTAAAGTGATGTCGGAGACGGAACGGGTTACTGAAGCGTTCTACGCATTGAACACATGCGTAAGAATGGTCTGACGTATGTGCGGCGATGACGTGTTGGGTTAGATGTTGCGCTAAAATACACGCATAAGTGCAGTGTGGACACTTGAAATGGCTCATCCCATCTAAACGAACTGGTTTTTTGGACTCTTGCTTGATAACTACCTCCTTATTGTCTTTTTCAATAACTGGTTTCCTATTGTCTTGCTCAATAACTTCTTCATTATTATCTTGCCTGATGACTAAGACCTTTTTCTTTTGATTCATAACCGGTCTCTGATTATCTCTTTGAATGATTGCTTTCTTATTCGTTTTCTTATTTTCTTCATTAATAATCTGTTCCTTATTTTCCTGTTTCATAATTTTCTCTTGCTCACTAGACGGTTGAGTATTGACTTCTGCTGCTTTAAAAGAAGCTTGACTAGGTTTTTGAAAGCGATTTGTCGATTTAACATTTGCATGTTTCGATGAAAAATGGTCTCTTAGTTCTTTGGGTATCACAAATCCTTCGTTGCACTGAGGACACACGTATGGATAATCATGAGTATGTTCCTTAATGATATGCCGCGACAAATGCGTTGGACGGTAGCATGCATAGCTGCAATAGCAACAAACAAAAGGTTTTTGATCTTTTTCAGCAACGCCTTCACCTTTCTTTCCCCTACGTCTCTTCTTTGCGAGACCGTTTTCAGTATCAACAACTTTGCGTTTCCTGTTCCTAGTTACAATGACTTTGTTTTTACCTTTCTGTTTCTTTCTTTTGATTCCAGAATCTTTAGTATTAGCTTTAAGTTCTCGGATTCTTGCATGGACGTTATCAATGTGTCTTTGAAGACGTACAGGCCTCGTAAATCCATTGCCACACTCAGCGCACGTGTAAGGATAGCGCTTCGTGTGCTTGCAAATGATATGTTGAGTGAGACTTTGGAAATAGTTGCATATATATTCACATTGTGGACATTTATATGGCTTTCCGCCTTTCTGCAGTTCTATAAGGCTATTTTTCAAATCATCAGTATTTTCACTGGTAAAATGCGCTTGATTATTATCCGTTTTTGATTGCACGAGTCCATTTTCCAAATGATTAACTCCCACTTCTAACTGCACAAGACTATTTTCGCTATCCTTTAGGTTTTTAACAGACGAATCCAAGTTTTTAGCCACTTCAATCGTTTCCTGAGCTATTTCCGGCACAGTGTTACGTCTTGGTTTTTTACGGTGACTAGTTAATATTGTGTTATCGCTCCTTTTCCTTTTACGTGATTTCCTCTCATCAATTTCTAAATTACCGTCTGGAATTTCATTTATGATCAACGAAGAATCCTTACTACATGATGCCTGGTTGTCTTGAAGATGTTCAGCGAAATCAGCGGAAGCTTGAAACATTTTGACCACACCGTCTTCTTTGTGCTTCGAATTCAAATGCTTCTGGAGATAAAAAATTCGAAAACAAGTATATTCACAAAAATCACATTTCAGTTTATGACGGATCTTATTAGCACCAGAATTTGTATTCCTTCTGACTGGCTTTGGCTTCTTTTTGACATCTGAGTGTCTCTTTCTAATATGATGTTCGTAACGACCCGGACGTATAAAACCTTTACCACAGTCTAGACAGTGAATTGGATACTTTTTAGTATGTTTGACAATCACGTGCTGGCGCATATGCGATGATTGTATGCTGCTGTGCTTACAATAAGGGCACTTGAAAGGCCTGTCAGCCGTGTGTATCCGTGTGTGTATTTCGAGATTTCCAGCCTGACTAAATCTTTTTCCACAGATGTTGCAAGGATAGTTTTTTTCCTTAGTATTGTTAGTTAGAGACAGAGGGGGTGGTTGCCATTTTGAAGCTCTCCCACAAACATCGCAAGAAATTGATTGTTCAAAATAGCGACCTTGGCTCTGAAGCTTTTCTATTTGCAAAAAGACTTTTTCACAATTGGGGCAATCGTAAGTTTGAGCTTCTGCTTTTTTTGATTCAGGGCAATGGCGTTCGCGAAGTAGGGCTTTGTCTGTGGAATATTCAAATGTAACACATTTGTTTTCTTTAACAGCAGAATTAGATTGTAGCTCTTGATCCAGAGGATTAAACATGATACTTTTTGCATCACACCAAACTTTCTTAACTGCATCTGCAGAAGATAAACAATTTAAATAAATTAAAATGCAATTATTCTTAAAAAAAAAATTTTTGAAAAATTTCTTTATTTTTTTAAATAATGTTCATATTTAAACTTTTGAGTAGGGTGTAGTTTTTGTTTAATTATAATTTTATATCCTGCACGCGCAAAGCTCCTGGGAAAAATTCTACTGAAATTTCTTAGTAACGCATTATTTTTCCTTTTACCCATTTTCTGCCTAAGCTGTTGCGTATAAGCACCATTTCAAAAAATATTTTTCATTAAAACTAAAATATATTTTTCACTTTTTTTTCTTTTGCTATTGCCAAATGTTCTGAAGATATCTATGAAATATTAGTTATTCTATTGGAATCAACACTTTCCGTTGAGAAATTTTCAAACAAATTTTAGGTTTCCAATTTTAGAAATTCTTATTTATAAAAATAAAACTAAATGCTTAACAAGAAATACATTTTCGGAAACACGAAGTGATATATTGTCTCAGAATTACGCATCTGAACTATACATAAGAACTATACGTCAGAGTTAGAACACTTTTAAATGTGTTTCATAAACTAAACTAAACAAACTGCTAGTAAATATGAAATGATACTTTTACGTTGACTTTTAATAACGAAATGTTTAACTTGCAAATAAAACAAAACTGAATTCAATCAATAAAAAAAATTTGCATGTCTGCTGCAGCGGTTGCCGGAAGAAAATAACTGAATAAAACAGCTTGTAAAAAAAGTACTCGGAAAAAAGACATTAATTGAACGTTTACTTTAATAACACAGGCCTGCGATGAAAAAAATACAAGAGGTCTGACAGCTGAACTTAATGTATTTTTTGGTGCTGAAATGAAAAATAATAATGAAAAATGTCCATCACGTCACGTTTTTTAGAAAAATTCAATTTTACTGGAATTTTTATGAACATTTACCATAAAAAAGTTTTGTTTTTGAATTTCTTCCCTTCTTGACTGACCAGCATCCTACTCTGGTCAAATCTACAAAAGTACCCCTCTATCACTACTTCCTGTTACCGTCCCACTCTCTGTAACAATCTCTCTCTGCCAATAGCGTCGCGAGAATCCTTATCTAGGTTCGCTGACCTCTCAGAAACACTAGCAAGCTTAATAGGGAGTCATTTTGACGTTTGCTTTTTTCTGTGTGTTTCATGCAACATGGCTTTGAGTTCAAGACAATGTGAAAATTTCCCAGATGATTTTTGTTATACATGCGGCGAATATAGTGTTGTTAAAAATCGCATGAGGAGCATTATAGATTATGTAAGACAACTTTATCTCGCATATTTTGACATAAAACTCGGAGATCAGGACAAATCTTGGGCACCTCATAAAGTTTGTATGCAGTGTCTCAATGATCTACGCTTATGGCATAAAGGAAGGAAGACTGCTTTACGATTTGGAATTCCTGTGACGTGGAGGGAGCCCCAAAACCACTTTGATGATTGTTATTTTTGTTCCTGCCATGCTCGTGGGTATAACCGGAAAAATCAAAGACTAATATCTTATCCTGATAGCATGGACCTGATGTGCCTTTGCCTCCAACTGAATTACCAATCATTTCTTCAGAGTCTTCAAGACTCAGAACATCTAGAAGTTCAAGGCTCCGATATCGAATATAAACATTTCTAGCCGGTTTACCTCAGCCCTCGTCTCAGGTTGAGCTTAGTGATCTGACTAGAGATCTTGGCCTTTTGAAAGAGGCAGCTGAATTATTAGGCTCCTGACAGAAAGAAAAAAAACTTATTGGCCAAAGGAACATCTTTTTATTGGTACAGGAATCGTGAAAAGGAATTTATTAAGTACTTTGCTGAAGAGAACTTGGTCTATTGTTCTGATGTTCCTGGATTGATGAGCAAATTTAATGTCATCTACAATAAAGATGAGTGGAGGCTGTTTATAGATTCCTCTGAAAGAAGCCTCAAGGATGTTCTTCTTTATCATAGGAGACAGTATGCATCAGTACTAGTTGGACACTCAGTATATTTAAAAGAACGCTTCGAAAACCTGGCTCTCGTCCCGAACAAAATAAATTATATCGACCACAGTTGGACCATTTGCGGTGATTTGAAAATTATCTCCATGCTTCTTGGTCAACAAGGGGCATTTCTAAATAACCCATGTTTCATTTGTGAGTGGGACAGCCGAGACAAGACTCAACTTTGGGTCAAAAAAGAATGGCCGAAAAGACAAAATCTTGAACCAGGCATCAAGAACATTATTCGAAACAGCTTAGTTGATCTGAAAAAAGTATTGTTACCTCCGCCACAGATAAAATTAGGTGTAATGAAGCAGTTTTTCAATGCTGCTCCAAAAGATGGCAATTGTTTCAAATACCTGTGCAAAAAGTTTCCAGGTTTATCCCAAGCTAAGTTGAAAGAAGGAATATTTGTTGATCCAGATATCTGCAAACTCATGAAGGATAAAGAATTTGAGACTAACATGACAGAAACGGAAAAAGAAGCTTGGGTTGCTTTCAAGGGTGTCGTCAGTAAATTTCTGGGTTATTACAAGGATCCTGATTATAAGGAAATTGTAATGAAAATTCTGGACAAATTTAAAACGTTGGATTGCTCCATGAGTGTAAAAATGCATTTTCTTCATTCACGTGGACTTTTTCCCTGAAAATTTAGGAGCAGTCAGCGAAGAACAAGGGGAAAGTTTCCATCAAGAAATCAGTCAAGAATATGGAGCGTAAATATCAAGGAAGATGAGACAAGAACATGTTCGCTGACTACTGTTGGATGATTGCTCGGGATAAACCCGAGATTAAGCATAAAAGAAGATCATCAAAAATAAGTTTCAGAGGAAAACGAGTATATACTTAAACAGAAACTTTTCTTTTTTGTTTTTGCTTGCTTTGTTTGTTTTGTTTTTTGTTTCAAGTTTTCATATACACATGCACAATATTTGTTATTCTTGGTTAAACGTCAATTTTACGTAAGTTATCTCAATAAAAACAAATTAAAATGGCATGTTGGTGATTTTCTTCTAGAAACTGATGTAACAGGTTTGAACACAAGGTTTTTTCAAGTATTGTTTTTCTCTCGACCAGAGGTGACTTCTGCGGTCTGGTAACAGTATTTTTTATTCATTTTAACCTATAAAAAATTTGCTGATAGCTCAAAAATCAGTATTCTTTCACAAGATTAAATTTTACATAGATCAAAATGAATAAAGAGAACAGTTACCGGATAGTACATGCAAAATTGCTTGAGAGAATTCCTTTCCAAATAGGATTTTAGTAAAACCATTAATATCGATTTCATAAAAATCCTGATGTGATTGGGGAAAATGAAGGTCATTTTCGAAATCAGCGCATCAAATAACATATAAATCAACAATAACTTCTCTTGTATTTTTTAAAAAGTTCAATTTCGCAGGCTTGTGTAATTTAAAATAACTCATATTTAAACTTATGAAGTAAAAATAATTTTAAAAAAGTAAATCATTCCCGCAACAGACAATTGAGCAGTAGGGTGACATGGAATTTTAAACTCTGTAATTTCGTGACCAAAAGACTGATGGTTTTAATGTAGTCAGAATTGCGCACCGACCACTTCTACTTCCTAGTCAAGCTGATACGTATCTAAAGCTAAATAATATCAATCTAAAGCTTGAGTAGGTATTCGAAAATTTGGTGTTTCTTGCTTTAAAATAATTATAATAAATATTATTCACGAAAGTTACAAAATAGTTAAAATAATTGTCCACGCGTATTTCTTATATACTTTCATATATACATATTTTGAGCTCTTTTCAGTTTTTCAAACACGCATAACAAATTTATGTTCATCTTTATAAACGCGAATTTCGATCCATATTTCTCTTTTTTTAAAACCTTCATTTTAAACTATGTAATTTTTTTTTTAAGTGCAGATTTTAAATTGCATATCTGTGGGAAAATTTCATACATTTGTATTTTCAATTTCTAAACAATATGTTTTTTTTTTTTTAAATTTTCGAAGAGAATTGTAATTTAAAATAGTTTTGAAAATTATAATAAAAATAAAATAAATATATAGCTATATAATATTGTTGCACTTTCATTGCATCTTTATTAGTGTGTCCTATATTATAAACTTATAAGGTATTGAATTTTATCAGTTACCACTATCAGAAACATTTTCAGCATCCAAGTTGAACATTCTCAGTTCTGTAGCGTAATTGTCACTGTACCACACCAAGAGCTCTTGAAAAGGCTCAATTTGTTTGCAAGTCTTGTAATAAATTCTTTTTTTATACTGGAAGGCCATGACATTATGATTTTCTTTAGAATCTGCAAAATTCACAAACCGTAACCAATTTGATGTTTCTCTCCAGGAGCTTCTCTCTTTGCCACAATTTCTTACCTAACGCACATAAATTGATAAAAAAAAATTATCAAATTGAGAATGCTGACAAAACACGGGTATTCTCTTAAATGGTTTTATTAATATTAAAATTTGTTAAAAGTAAGTATAAGAAGATTTTAAAAATATCGGTAGCACTTTAAAAGATGTATTAATATTTTTAAAATACTTCGATATACCAAAGCTTGTTTGACAAAATTTAAAATCTTTAAAATAAAATTATTAAAAAGTAATATTTTCTCTATTTACGCGAAATTACATTAAATTATTTTTTTAAAATACTAAAAACAGCAAAACACTTAAAATGACAAATTTTGAAACCCTGATTATAAAATAATATCTTAAGTCGTATAATTAATTTTGAAATATTTCATACGCTTTGATAGCATATTTATAAAGTTTAGACAAAGTATGTAGCATTAATATTCTCAAATGTATTAGCGAAGTATATCTGATACTGTTTGGAAACATTAACTTAAAAATTTATTCTAATACATCACGATTTGTGAATTTTTTTAAAGCAGGACAGTATGTCTGATAAACTTTGAAATATTGATGTGCTACTTTCATAATTTGTAAAGTGATTTGAAACTATTTAAAATTAGATACGTAAAAAGTCATTTAAAATGTTATGAATACTTTTATATTATCATTCATTATTACAAAGAATCTATGAAAAAAATTTAACTTTTTTTTGTAAAAAATCTGTTTTGAATAGATGTCATTCAGAATAGAAAAAAAAATCATTTAAAACAATATATTCAATTTTGAAATATTTGAAATAAGCATATTCTATAGTTTTTTAAATCATACTTATTAAGTTTTTTTTACAATTGTATCAATATTTTATTCAAATGGCAAAATAGATTATCTGTCGAAACCGTGTAAAATCATTTTTATAAAAAATAATTAAAAACAATTTTATTTTTGAATTTGTTAAAAGTTTGAAGCACGTTAATAAACTTGTTGAAACAACAAAACATATTTAACAAACCTTAAAATCATTCATACAAGGGTTGCTATTTATATTTCTGGCCTAATAATGAAAAACAAATATGTAGGATCGAAATTGGTTTTATTGTTTTTCAAAATATTCTCCATGTTGATCAATAAACTTTTACATGCGTTTGAACCAATTTTCAAAACACTTTTTCCAGTCCGATTGAGGTAACTCCAAAACATGCGTTTTGAATGCATCAATCGCTTCTTCGGGGGTCGAAAATCGTTGTCCATGTAATTTATTTTTGATGTGTGGGAATAAGACGAAGTCATTGGGTGCCAAATCAGGGCTGTACGGCGGATGACCCATCAGTTCGATCTTTCGCTCCGTCAGAAATGCCTTTGTTTGAGTCGATGTGTGAGAGCTCGTACTGTCATGATGAAGAATGATTCGCCTGTTCTTCTGCTTTTTTCGAATTTCTCCGATGACTTCTGGCAAACAAATGGTCGTGTACCATTCAGAATTGACCGTCCTGCGTTGCTGTAACGCCACTGTTGCCACATGACCATTAATGCCGTAGAAACAGGCAATCATTTGTTTCGATGTGCTTCTTCCTCGAACAACTTTTGTTGGTTTTGCCTCGTCTTGGAAGACCCATACAGTTGATTGCTGTTTTGTTTCCGGCTCATATGCATAGATCCATGATTCGTCACCTGTGTAGATGTTATACACAGCCTTTGATGTACCTTGAACGTATTTTTCCAACATTTCCTTGCACCAATCGACACGAGCCTTTTTTTGAGCGTTTGTCAGATTATGCGGGATCCAACGCGAACAAATTTTTTTTACGCTCAAATGTTCATGCAATATTTTATTGATGCTAGTCATACTAATGTCCAAAGACGCCTCTATCTCACGGTATGTCACATGACGATCTTGCTTTATCAGTTCACGCACAGCATCGATCTTTTCTGGCACAACAACGGATATCATCTAACAAATACGGGATTCGTCCTGGATCGAACATCGACCACGATTAAATTCGTTATACCAATTTTTTACAGTGTTGTAGGATGGCGCTTTATCGCTGAATAAAGAATTAAGTTCATCGAAACACTTTTGTCTTGACAATCCACGTCGAAAGTTATGAAAAATATTGGCACGAAAACGTTCACGATTCAATTCCATTTTTTGAAAGAGAAGAACTTTTCAATTTACTGTTAACAACACAAATGAATTTATGTTTAAAAATATCAAACTTTAGATTAAAATCGTCTGCGGTTGCCTAGCAACACTTACTGTTGCCAAGGCCAGAAATATAAATAGCAACCCTCGTATAAGAAATATAGAAATCACACTCAGCTTGGTAGCAGAAACATTCCAGAAAGGCAACGGATACTACAGAAAATTAAGCATCTGCAAACTATTCTTACAAAGTGAACAGACAAATGAGAGAAAATTGCTAAGACTCCTTTTAAAAACATCTCTATTCTCTTGGTATCATTTATTTAATCCTTAAACTTTTTTTTTATTTCCAATGGCAGAAATTGACAAACTCTTAACAAAAAGAATATATGCAAATGAAATAGATAAGAGAAAGAAGTCAATGACTCATTAGCAGATGCCTAGCACTCCAATATCTCTAAATTTGTTTCTTATAAAAATTATAAAGCTGAATTGAGAGAAAGTCGCAAAGAACAAAAAGTAAAGAATTTTGCTTCTATTACTTGCTCACTTAACAGGGGATTTATTCTTTTTAGTATCATTGCGAGTGTGAGAAAGAGATGTTTTTTGGCTGCCTCAGGATTCAAACTAAGGACCTCTGGCTGGGGTCGTCGTCGGATGCTCATATTAAAATGACAAAAAATGTCTAACAAACTTTAAAATCATTTGTATAAAGAAAAGATAAAAATCAACATCACTATTTTTGAAGCATTTAAAATAACGAACTAAATTGAACTTTGGAAGACTCATTTAAAAATTATGAAACGTAATATGAATATTTTTAAGATTTGTTTTAAGAAAAGTATTTAAAATAATATCAATATATTTAAACATTTCAAATAACAAACATGTTTTATCAGATAAATTTTTAGCTAAGTTATTGACTCCAATATAATATAATGTGAATAACCATCCAAAAGTATCCAGTATTTTCAGCTTCGTAATAGTTTTTAGTAATTCTTCCTCTGCATGGACCCAAAATAATTCCTGTCGGAAGTTCCTCTTCAGTCCAAACGCCGAATTTCACTACAGAAACTGAGGATTTTCTGAGTACAAAACTTTGTGGAATTTCTTGAGCTTTTTGAGTTTTCAGTAATTTATCCGGAATCTAGAGACAAGAGACAATTAAATAAAAACATTATCAGACAATGATAAAAATATTATCAGACAATGGTACTTCTTAAACATCGTGACCAACTAGCCTTCAAGGAATATTTTTCATGGAACTAACCAGCATTTGTGTTAAATGGGGATGAAAACAACCCACAGTCAGGGAATTCTAATCCATGATTTGTCAAGGATATTTTACGTCAGCAGTATAATCAGTGCAAGCCTTGAGCAGAAATCGTATCGACCAGCCCCGCTAGGATTCGAGCTTGCGGAACCTCATTGAGAGGCGAGCGCTCTATCCTCTGAGCTACAGCAGCATTAGGAATAGATTTCATGCTTTTTTTTTTTACGTTATGTTACTATTTTTGAACCTAGATATCCGAATATGTTCCTGATGAGCCACGATGGCTCAAGGGATAGAGCGTTCGCCTTCACACGAGGCAAACCGGGTTCGAATCCCAGTCGATACGAATTCCGCATCCGGCTTGCACTGACCACAGTGCTGAAGTAAAATATCATCAGTGGTTGACGGATAATGGGTTAGAGTCCCCTTGCCGTCAGGTTAACCATGGGAGGTTCTCGTGATATTCCTCTCCATGTAACACAAATGCGGGTTAGCTCCATCAAAAATTCCTCCACGAAGGCAAATTTCTCCCAATACTCAATCCAGGAATTCCCTTGTCTTCTGGATTGGGTTCAAAATTACAAGGCTACGGAGTTGAACATTAGTAGTCGTAAATCCATAAAATTGGGTCGGCTGTTTAACGACGGTTATAAAATAAAATAAAAAACATGTTCCTGATGTTATTTAATACATTCTTCCATCAGTGCTGACGTGAAATATATTCAGTGGTAGATGGATCATCATGGGTTAGAACTCCCTTGCCGTCTACCTAACCACGGCAGGTTCTCGTGGTCTTCCTCTCCATGTAACGCAAATGCGGATTAGTTCCATCAAAAAGTCCTCCACGATAGTCCTTCGTTAATACTTTGTGGAAAAGACCACAAAGTATCAACGAAGGCAAATTTCTCCGAATACTTAATCCAGGAATTCCCTTGTCTTCTGAATTGGGCTCAAAAATGCAAGGCTGCGGAGTTGAACATTAGTAGTCGTAAACACAAAATTAGGTCGGCTGTTCAACGACGGTTATAAGAAAAAAAAAGAAAATGGGGTCATTTAAAAAG